AATTGCATGGAAGTCTCAAGTTTTTCTTGGATGCCTCATTTGAACTTGCTGTTCTTGAGACTGTTATTATACTAGTTATCTTCAGCCCAACTGTGTAGAAACCTTTGAAATAGAGTACAGTTGAGGTACTGCAGGGACAGCTGCTTTTTTGAGACTGGAGTAACCTCTGGACATCATCTAATCCATTCCCCTTCACAGCAGGGTCAACTAGAGCAGGTTGCTTGGAGCCATGTCCCTGCAATCCAAGACCTGCACATCTCTATCCTCCCTTAGGAGCATGGTCTGAGTCAAGGCCTCTGATGTTCTGGGGTAGCTGCTCCAGTGAGTGCTGGGGATGGAGCCTGGTGGTGCATGACTGCAGTTGCTGAGAACATGTACAGAGAGAGTTTTCGGCCATTGTTTTCTGCAAACTGCTGCACAAAATGCTGCATCTGTTGGCTGTGCTCTGGGCCTGGCACTTACATAGATCTTTTTCTAGGACTTGTTGAAAGGGTTCCTGACTCTTAGTAATCAGGAGTTAGCTGGAACAAAAGCTCAAAGCACCCTTTGATCAGGAACAGCTGGCAGACCTTGTTAAAAGCTTCTAGAGCTTGCTAGCTAGCTCTTCCTGGCAATGGCAGGCATCGTGAAATTCCTCGAAGGCTTCCCAGGGCTCCTCTGATGATCCCAGAAGCATATAGAAGATTAAGAGGATCTAGAAATGGAGCCCAGAAACTGCTGCACGAACTGCTGCATCCTAGCTGTGCTCTGTGTAGAAAACACATGCAAGAATAAAAATTATTTAAGATTTTAACTTTTTAAGTACTAAAGGATGTTGCATTGATCTTGGTGTCCATAACAGCATGATAGACAAAACTTTCCCTTCTAGGGAGTTACCATTAAGTGTCATATATTAAGTTAATGTTGCTTTGTGACCCATCTGGAGTGGCATAAAACTACAGCTGATATGGTGTGATTTAAGAACCCAAGTGTTTAGCCAGGAAAATTAGTTTTTCACATTACTGGGACAAAAAAAGTTGTTGGCATGGTATCTTCTTCTTCAGACTGAGGCTAACTTAAAAAAAAAAAAAAAAGTAAACAGGAAAAAACCCTCTCCTGTTGCTGTTCCCAGTCTGTCTGTCAACTTGTTATTTTGGAGTCATCTCCTGTCTAGTCCTGAAAAAATAATTGGTAAACAAGGCCAGATCTTTGCGGAGGCTCTCAGGAGTACCTTTCATTTTCTTTTGATGCCAGTTGTGTTATTCATCTTAATAGTTTCTGTCCCTGCTGTTGCATTTTGCTCTCTGAAAAGCTTTTTAAAATTTTAAGTACATGCTGCCATGATGAATTTCTCTGCAGTCTTGGGAGAAGGCTTTTTGTCTTGAGGTTGTGTGTGTGTGTCTAAACTGATATGACATCTTCATTCTAACTGTCATTGAGTTTCATTTTTCCTAAAAGATACTTCTGACTTATAAATATGTTGCATTGTATGTCACAGTTTGTCCAAAATTTCTTTGAAAAGGTTTATCTTGATGGAGTTTTTGAGAGCTCGTTCAGGCAGTTTTGGAGCTACTGCTGTCACTGTTGTTGACAATTCTTCTCTTGGTCTTTGTGCTACTATTTGTCTCTTCGTCATCTCTGGCACAGTGCAGACAATTGTAATTGAGTTCTAGGCACTGCTGCTGTGCTGTAATCTTAATTCAGTGGCATTTTGCAATGGAAGCTGGAGCTTATGGAAGAATTTAGGTGCCTATGGACGGACAAGACAATAGGTAAATTGATCTTCCAGGTGATTATGCCCGCTGTCATTTGGTTATTAGGAATTGACAGCTGTGTTGTAGCGATTTCATGAAGTTCTTGTTTATTGATTTTTAATTTTAATTTTTTGTAACGCTTTCCTCGTGGTCAGGCTGTGAAAGACACACATGTGAAACTTGCCTTCTGTGCTAAAAAAAAGTTAGGAAATTCATCACTTCATGCGTAATGATTGACCTTGCCAACATTTTTCAAAGTTTTAAGATGTGGTTTCATGTTCACTGATATTAGACTGTGTGCTCAGATGCGAGTACCCTAACATGTTTGTTCTTGACTAGCTAAAATGGACATAAACTGCATCATGTACACAACAGGGTAGATAAGTATTTTGCTCTAAAACCTATTTGAGCTGTTAGAAGGAATTTCATGTGGCGTGCTATGTCTCTGCTGAAAGTTCATTTCTTTGGTAGAGGTATTTTCTACAAGATATTTGAAAACTTGCTACTTCCTTGTTTTTAAGTGAAGTTCCTCAGAAGAACTATGTAGCATGTCTAAAAGATGGCTTTGGTATGAGCTGGGGGCAGCTCTTATGTTCTTCGATAAGTGGCAGTGTGTCAAGCTTCTCCAATAGAACAATCGTAGGCAGAAGAAAGTTGCAGAACAGAAACATCAAGGAGAAGAAAAATAAAAAATATGCAGAAGGGAAACAAACAAATGGATTATTAAGTGTATGACATTTAATCTGTGAAATTTTTCTCTTCCCAAGTGCACTTTTCCCCAGTAATCAGCATAAAATTTGGTATTAAAATGTTTTGTGTTGTTCTGAGAACTGTGTTTATTGGTAGCTGTATCTCATGTGTTATTGTTTTCCGTGTTCCTGAAGGATTGATGTTCTTCTCTCCAAGCCTTCCTCAATTTAAGTCACTTTCTTCGTGAAAGAATGACAAACTGTTCAAGTAGTTTCTAGAATTTGTTGATGTCCCAAAGTTGAATGAAATTAATCTTGCTACATTGTCCTGCTCATTGCTTCTGGTTTCCTCAGTTGCTTGAGTATGATATTCTGGTTTTCAGTGTCTACCTTTCCATTACTGTTATTTTTAACCAACCTCTGTAGTCTTTGAGAGTTCTGGTACCAGAGACATCCTTAGATCAAGCTTGTGCTTAGTATGACTTGCAGAACAAAGTACTGTTACTAGTATTTTGTGTTAAAGTGGTGTCTTGGTAAGTTCCTCTGAGTTCCTGTCCAAATGTTTACTTGAGAGCTGTCCAACCAGTTAACCAGAATGAAAAACCAGTATCAAAACCAAACAGGTGGTGTTGATTGGAAACTGTTAAAATGTAAAGCAACTTGGGTTCATTTAAGATGTGAAGTTTGTCGCATAAAAGGCTTAATGCAGTCTTATATTACTAGCTTGTTCAGAAAAGAGGTATGCACTGTAGGAGTTCTTGGTATTTTAACACTGGGATTGCTGTGCTCACTGAACAACAGTCCTATTCTCTGTTTAACAAGTAATATTTATGGTGATGTTTCTTCTGCGATTGACATAATGCTGACATACAGTCCCCTTGCTGCTCTGTCTGTGTTGGAGTTCTCTCACCGATTGTCTAATATCATGCTTTGCTAATTGTTGTCATCTTGATAACCCAATTGCTTTGCTAAGTATCTACAGGAAAGCTATGATAGGTGAATTTTATGTCTGCTTTTTTTCGATGTTACTGCTACAAAAAATGTATGCTAATTACTCAAGAAGTATGTTTGCTTCCACATGCTATTCAGGTTAACAGTTTTAAGGAGACTGAATTACGATCTGCCCTACTCATGCTAGATTTCCTTGACTCTGATAGGAATCTGTTTGTTCCTTAAATGATAACATGGTTTCTTCTTGGCATGCTACAGCAAGAAACCACTGCGTCATGGATGCTCAGTCAGAAACTTTACATATTCTAAAGTTGAACAACACCTCCTTAAGGGAGAAGTAATTCCTCATAGCTGTGCTATGCTTTACTTTCTGATCGTAAGAACAATGCAAAATTACTGATTTTCTTGTTAATTATTACGGTAGACTGAGAGTCTCCTATTGCGGTTTTTGTGGAAAACGGTGAAAGTGATTTCTGTTTTGCTGTCTCAGGCAACCCTTTACACCACAAAATAACTAAAACTCTTAAGAACCTTAACAGGCTGTAAGCATCCATGGTAGAAGTCATCTTGCTGTATGTTTGTGAATAGCATGAGACCTGGGAATGTTAAATAAGTTTTACTGACCTCTTACAGAGGACTAAATGTGGAAGGAAAATTTTTTTTTCCTCTCCTCCCCTCCTCCCCCCCCCCCGCCTCTTTTTTCATTCAGTTGACTCTCGCACAAAATGTTTTGAAATACACTCAAATCACAGCTGAGAGCTATATGAATGCCAGCCACTAGGTGGTAGAGAATTTCAAGAGTAATGCAGACTTTGAAAATTGATAAAGGAGTGTTCTCAGGGCTGAATTTCTGGCTTTTCCAGTCTGTGCCTTTTTTGCAGATACTTTACTTTTTGATGGGTTGTTCACTAAAATGATGCTTCCAAACAAGTTTAGACATCTTTTCTTAAAGTTTTCGTCACAGTAATCATCAGTTAAATATAAAACTGCTTGTTAATAAGGTGAAAAGACTTCAAGGGAAAATACTTCGATACATTTTAGTGGTAATCTGCAATAACTGTAAAAATTCAAGAACTCAAAGTTCTTAAAATGTCATCTACTGTGTGTAATGAAATTATTGCATGCACATTTATAATTGGTAAGTGGCTTTAGAAAACAAAATTGAAAAACCTTGATGCATTCGGTTTCTCAATAAAAGTGAAGTAGCTGTTTTGTACCACATCTGAATAGATGGAAACCTACTACTTCAACAGAATGACCAGAACTTTTCATAAGCTTAAGCTTATGAAATTGTTATCATTCTCTGAGGGTACGGGAGAAACTCAAATTGTAGCCAGACCTATTTTCTTTTAAATGTTGGGAATTATGCCTTATTTGGAAGGCTAGAGATGAGAATGGATAGGGATAAATGCCACAAATAACAAGTGTTACTTAAGTAATGTTTAAGTCTTTTTGTCTGTGAATAAACACTCTGAAGTTTAAAGCTTATTGGGGCTGTTAGGAATCTTAATATACTTAATCTTTTTGTTACTGCAAGCAAACTGCTATTGTTCTGACTTAAGACAATTAAAAAAAAAAAAAATGTGGCAGTGTATGAAACCATAATATGCCTTTATATATTTTACAGACTTCTACTTGTAGGAGGCTGTGAAACAGATGAAGATGGAGTATCTAAAGCAACTGTTTGTGGGATATCTGCTTGGAGAATTCTGTCAGGCTCTCCCCATTATAAACAGGTCACTAGTTATGAAGATGACATTAGAATAGTAAGTATGTTTCCTCATTTCATTGGATGAATATTGTCACTGGCAGAATTATGTAACTGGAAGTTCAATATGAATCTCTTTTTGAAAGAAGAATTTAATGCAGTGTTTTGCTATTTTGTAAGCTATGATGTGAGCTTCTAGTAAGTTATCTCTTTCTCCCTCAGTATCTGTCTATTTTTGCTTTTTCTGTAGTATGATTTGAACTTTTAAGTTCTTGATTATCACTTGTGTTTAAAAAAAAAAAAAAAAAGAACAAACCCCAAAACAATGAGAAACAACAACAAAAATGTAGTGTGGAAATATACAAACTCCTTAGTTGTGTACTGTGATATGTTACCTGTCTTTGGAAAAATTTCAGTTATTTTTGTCTTTTTATTACTTCATAACAAAAGGCAGCACACCTGAAATAAATGTTTCAGTTTAAGTCTGACTCTTGATTTCTTTTGCTTCTAGTAGAAGTAAATGTTTGATTTGGTAACAACTACAGTGTGGATAAACTGAAACCAATTTATAGTATACTAGGATAAATTCCAGTATTTACTCTTCTATAGGTATTGCTTAGTGTTAAAAGCGAGTTGTTAATTTCATTGCAAATGGGTAGTGCTTTTCTGTGGCATGATACATACCTAATGAAATGGGCAAAGTTATACAAATTGTGTTTTATTATCCTTGCATTATTTTAAAATAGGCAGTCTTAGGGAAATTTAAAGAATCCTGCAGAGTTGTTTTAGTACTTTAGATATGACTTAGTTTTTGGTGCATAAAACAACGTGTGAGATTTGTCTTTCATTGTGTGATATGTTTCTGTTCTTACAGGCACAGAGAAGAGGATTATTAAAGATTATGAATATAAGATTTTACAGTAGGCGGGGAACAGAACAGGTATTAAGGTCTAGGTCTACCTCAGAAATGTATTTTACTAACATAATTGTCCATTAATGACTGCCTGAGAGACTGATTGAAAGTAGTTTTTAATTTATGCCACTTAAGAATTAACATTGCTATGAAACTTATCAAAAATAATAAGCTTTTAGCATTAAATGGAATAGCTTGCCATTTATTCAGCTTTTTTAAAAATCCAATTAGTTCATCTTCTGAAGCTTGAATCTTGGGTTTTCAGCATACTGACAGGAACAGGTCTAGAGATGTAGAGTTCAATATTAAATGTAAACTCTTATTCAAAAAGGAACGTATAAAAAGCCACCTAATTATTTGTTAATGAATGTAATGATCATAGCATGTTAGGTGTGTGTTATATTCTACAAGAAGAGAGTAGATTGTGATGATGTTTCTCAAGTATACACCCGAGAGAGAAGTAAGAGGAACTCCAAACCCCAGCCTTCTGCACTACCCCACTCCCACTAGAAAACAAACAAAAACCCCATCACCTTACAGCCCAAAATTTTCATACAGTGTGGAGAAGAAAAAATTAATGGATTCAAACTAATCATTCATGGCTTAAATAGGGCAGACACAAAGACTTGATTTTTAGAATCTGTTATGAGATACCATGGAAACATTTTGCTAAGTAGCTTCAAAGGTTTGTTATGGGTCCAACTTCCACTACCAGGACACATGCAAACCTAATGAAACTGCTGATCAGAATCTACTTGTTCTTAAAAAACACCGGGAATGGGTCTTGTATTCACCTCTCCCATGAATGAGTGCATGTTAAATCTTGACTGTCATGCTGAGGTGTAGGTGTGTGCTTTCTATATTTCTAAGGCTTGGCACACAGTGCTTGTGGCTTGCTTCTACATGCCTTAGGAGCCACCTATGCAGTACTACACCACCTTCTCCTACCTCTTGTCTACTAGTTGTGTGTAGCCTTTGTTTGATTCCTTTTTTATCCCCTTTTCCCTCTTTGTAAAAAAATTTTCCCTTCTTTTGCTTTCCAAAGAAAGAATAGTAAAGAACCTGTCTACCACCCTCACTGTGTTCTCCTGAGAGGAAAAATGCCTGGTCTGAAGTTATATGGACTTTGGAAATGACCTTAATAGATTTTTGGGATGTTTAGGTGACTGGTTAAAAGAAGAAATTGCATGCTTGATTGGAAGAGGAAAACAAATCTTTCTGAATCTTTCTCAAGGGTGGAATGGGGAGAGATTTTATTTCCTTCACTGAAAATATAAAAGAGAAGGCTGAAGAAAACTTTTTTACTGCAAGGCTGGCAATGAGTGTAGCTGTACTAAACTTCAATGTCATTGCACTTGCCAGTACTAAATTTACAAAGAAAAGCAGAGATAGTTACTCATCCTTGAATGTTTTAATCCGATTTCAGAGATTATGGTTTAAATATGTGAGGTATAGTTTACATTCGTAGTGGGAAATTGGCAACAGTGTTAAGGTATGACAGACACAGCAGCTAGAGAACTTGTATATTAGAACTAGCTATATTGGGATTTGATTCTTAGTGTTGCTAACTTAAATGATAATTATAAAATGTGAAATGCCAACCTGCTGAGGTTTTCAGTATCTTTTTCTGCAGTTCCCTTAAGTTGACAAGCTGTTTACTGAGGCAGCATTGTCTGCTTTGCCAAAGGACTGATTAATCTCTACAGATAACAGCGCTCGGGTGGTAAATTTGAATGTGGCCAGAATTATTACTGACTACTGAGTAAATGTTTAACCCTTGTTAAGATCTGTGATGTATACCACTGACCATTTATCTTAATGGGTTATACGTTTTAGCTATATGTTTCTAAGTCCTTTAACAGTCTTTTGTTCTTTGTCCTCTGTGCATGCAACTTGATTTGTAAAGTGAGAATTGCCATTAGTAGGCATTTACAATTCCTTAGCAAACTACAGTAGAAATTGCAGTACTCTAGCTGCTTCTCTATCAGAGAATACTTAGGAATTATTTATATTAGAAAAAATTCATAATTAGTTAAAAAAAACCTTAATAATGCTCTCCTTTTCAATTAAAAACATGCTTTAAGCTTGGGTTTAAGCAGTCCTCTCAATAGCTGCAAACCACTGTACAACAGTGAGCAGATGACTTGATCATTGTTGTTTCTGTGGCATAGCTAGAACTTAGAACAGCCTAAGAAATAAAAGAGAAATAATAAAAAACCTAACAAACAAACCCTAAAAGAATATTGTTATCTTCAAATGATACCTACCACAAATGTGCTGTAGAAACTCCATTAAAACTTCTTAATCATATGGATGTCTAGTAACTTTTGTACTTCATTTATGTTGGGGTGTTTTCTAAGAGGGGAGGCACTGCTTAAAAATTGATTAGCTGCAGACTTGGACAGTTCTAACATTATTGTAGTATGAATCTTTATTAGGAAGTTTTTAAAAGCGAACTGCACTAACCAAATGGGATTTTATAAACAATATAAATTTTGGGAATCTACATCCTGCTGTCTTTCAGTGAAGACTAGACTCTCTGAGAACCTAATGATCTTTCTGAAAACATGGAAGTTGTGCTGGGGGCGGGGGGAATAAATATAAATTGTATTTTTAGAAATTGTTATGCATTGCCAGTGGCACTAAGTTTGACTTCAAAATTTGAGTGTATATTTGGAGTCTCTTGTCTCATGGAAATAGTGTATCGATCCAGTTGTAATTGTGTGGGAGTTCATGAATCCTTAAGGAAATATTTTGTTTGAAGTACATTTTGCCTCTTAAGATATCCAGAGCTGAAGGAAAACTTAATCCAGGAGAATTTTTGTAGCCTTGATGAAGTTTACTTACAAATGTTGAATTCATCTGTATGGAATTAATCTGATGTTTGCTATATTGCTGCTTAGTCTTTTGTTGCCCAAGAGATTCTTGAATTAAGATTCAGTGTCCTGAAATGAACAATGTGCTCCTCCAAGATATCTTCATCTGTGTATCTCCTGTACCCCCCCTTTTTTTTTTTTTTTTTTTAATTTTAAAAATGCTCAAAAAGTTTGCTTCTGGGGAGGAAGAGCTGTACTAAGCTGTGTTTGCATAACGATCTTCCTTGGGTGGACCTGAGAGACAGGACAGTAGAAAACTGAGGTTGCCAAATGTTTCCTCTGAACAGATGATTTGAGAACAGCCTGCAATTTTTCCTCCAAGTAGCTCCGCATTGATTTCTGCGGCCTTCTCCTAGGAATGCCACACTTTCAGATTTTATTTGCTGTATGACAATGTGATACAGAAATTGACATTCCTAAAGATTTGTTAGTGTTGTGGTAGTGTGCTTTATACAGGTTGCTTTTACTCTTCCATGCCACAATTGATACTTTACAATTATTCTGACTTCTAGCATAGTGGTGTGGTGTGTTTGGTTTTTTGTGGGTTTTTTTTTTTTTAAATTTAAAGCATGTTAAATTTTCTGGGTAGAAGATCGTACAATTTTTTTTCCTAAAATAGAAAAAGTAGTTTGGGCTTTTTGGGGAGGTCTTTTTGGTATGCCTTGTTGTATGTGGGGATTTTTTTGTTTGTTTATCTGTTTTTTTTTTTTTACTTTGCTGACATAATGTTTGGCAGGATGGAGTTTTCAAGATGAATCTTTCTCCTGATGGAGCTCTTCTGGCAGCTATTCATTTCTCAGGAAAACTGACAATCTGGTCTATTCCATCTCTCAGACAACAAGGAGAACATAATGTTTGGCAGGATGGAGTTTTCAAGATGAATCTTTCTCCTGATGGAGCTCTTCTGGCAGCTATTCATTTCTCAGGAAAACTGACAATCTGGTCTATTCCATCTCTCAGACAACAAGGAGAATGGGACCAAACTGATCAGGTAAGAAGGATGTAGATGTTTAGAAATTTGCAGTATATGTTTTAATCCTCTGGAGGTATGTTTTCCTAGGAGATGAGAGTAGTTCAGATTACTGTGGTTTAGCTACATACTGTTTTTCCAGTCAACTCCATATTTTTCAAGAGCCCTATATTTACTTTTACGATAGTCTTTCTGTGTTTTAACTATAACCCTTAAACTTTAAAAATTAAGAAAAAGAACCGGTTGTGTTGGAATTTTTCATGAGGCATTTTGATGCCAAGTGGGTAACACTGGTAGAGGTAGACTGAAATGCTATTTTTAAAATATAAGTGGAGGCCAACACAGGTAACTTTGAATGGTTGAAATGAAATTCTGCTGGATGTCTAATGTGCTCTTCTAGTTCTCCCTCAAAATTTACCTTACCTTCTGCCAGGTAACACTCCAGAATAGTTTGTTTATCAGATTGGTATTAGTAAGTCACATGCTTTCTACAGGAATTGTTTGCAAACCTGAGTAGGGGAAATTAAGTTAAGAATTGCCCAGACACTGGCAAACTTTTACATGACTAGTGTGAATTTAAACACTGGGAATTGAAAACTAATTAGTTTTCAAAGAAAATTCCAAAGAACTAATACACTCTCTGGGTAAGGATAGCACTTTATTTTAATGAGAAAAACACATCCATTTTGAAAAGTGACAAATCTGAAATGATGCACGCTAGTTTGTGAAGTATTCTGGTTTTACTCCCATTAATTTCTTGACTAATAGGTATGGAAAGGCTTTTCACTTGAAGTACCATGTGTTATGTTCTAAACTTACAAGACATGAACTGACATGAATTCCAAACAGGGTAACCAGTCAAATGGAGTCTTTGGTCACTAGACATAGGTGGCACTAATTACCACCAATATTTCCTACACAGTATTGATCTCGGATGGTTTTATTGTACATAAGTGTGTTTCTCGTTAGAAAATTATTGTAGGATGAAACATTTGCTGCTTAGTAGTAAACAGTTATGTTTTAGTGCATGTGCTGATTAATAAATTCGCATGTTATCATGAAATATTTGCAGTTTCTGATTCTTCTCTGTAATTTCCTTTTGCATGGTAAATCTTTGTACAGTGTATTGATTCCTTTAGAAATTCCAATATGAAAATATTTCCTCCAGTTTTTGTAGAATGTTTTAAATTCTTCAATTTTATGTATTCATATGAAACACAGGCAGCTTTCCCCCCCCACTATATTGAATTTCTCCTCAGTCTATGTATTGCACAATAGGCAGCGTAAGGTCCACAACAAAACACTTCCTGATGTTACATATAGGCATAGATTTCTATAATGAGGAAGAGGACAAAATGAAGGCAGACGTCTTCCTTTGGGTATCATAATGACAGTGAGGTTAAATGAATGTTTTCTAGAAAAATTACAGAAAAAAGATAGGCCAAAAACTTTGATTATGGGAAAGACAAGTCAATAAATACCTGTAGAGATAATGGTACGTTGCCATCCTGAACACCACTGGTGTGCTGTTACCTTTTTGTTCTGACTGCAAGGCTTAGAAATGTGGCTGTGTTGTTGTGTAGTGTAAGTTTTTGTTCTTGCAGGTAGGCAGTCAGATCTGGTTAGGCTGTATTGACTGTGAAATTGTACTGGGTCTGGCAGGGAGGGATGGAGTTTGCTTTCTTCACAGCAGCCCGTATGATGCTAGGTTTTTGGATTTGTGACCAAAACAGTGTTGATGATACCTCAGTGTTTTAGCTATTGCTCAACAGTGCTTATACAGCTTCAAGGCCGCCTCTGTTTCTCACTGTCTTCCCTCAATGAGTAGTTCGGGGGTGTGCAACAGCCTGGGAGGGGACACAGCCTGGACAGCTGACCCCAGCTGACCAAAGGGATTTTCCATGCAATGTATCGTCATGCTCAGCAATAAAAATGGAGCAGGGGGAGGTTTTGGGTAGGTAGGCATGGCTCAGAGGCTGGGTGGGCATTGGTCTGCTTGTGGGAGGTGGTGAAGGATTGCTTTTGCATCACTTGTTCTTTTTTTTTTTTTATTTGACTTTGCTTATTAAACTATAGGTGGTGAGGATTGCTTTTGCATCACTTGTTCTTTTTTTTTTTATTTGACTTTGCTTATTAAACTATCTTTGTCTTGACCCACGATTGTTCTTGCTTTTGCTCTTCCTGCGCTCTCCCCTGTCCCACTAGGGAGGGGAATTAGCAAGTGGCTGTGTGGTGCTTAGCTGCTGGCTGGGGTCAAACCATCACAGAAATGTAGTTCCAAGCTTATTTAGGAAAGTACTTTTGAAAAACAAACAAAAAATCCACTCCAGTGTTGGCAAAAGTGTTGTGTGTGTATGTATGCATACCTATCTATATCTATCTCCATACATATCTATATTTTTAACATACACTTCAGGTTTTTGTGAGAATACAGATTTTGCTCAACATTTACAGTGAATTTTTTTTTCCTTTGTTTTTAGCGATAATATGTATTCTGAAGCAGTTTTCAGGACTATCATTTAGTGAGGGTGATATAAAGGAGTATTACAGTACTTGACTGTTTTCAGAATGATTTTTATAGGTGAAATTGGTGTCTGAGTATAATGGATATTTTCATAATGTGTGCAATTCCTACTTAATTGTCTCCCAAACGTATTTGTTAAGTTAAAGTGGCCTCATGTTTACTTTTAATTAGTAGACCCCTCTCTTTCTACTAAAAAATTAAGCCTGAAAATCACCTTTTGGATGACCCAAAACTGCTTCGGTTGTCTGAGCTGTATAATCTACCTGCAGCTGGGGGCAGGATTACTGTCATCTAGGTTTGTGTAGTTCCTGTGTATTCTAACGTTACTAAATAAAGTTTAAAAAAACAACACAGCAACAGCTTACTAATTCTAAATGCTGCAGTGCGTCGTTAAATGATGCTGGTTCCCTTGCTGCACTAGTCTTGAAAGGGGCTTTCTGGTTATTTTCATAAATACGGTAAATGCATATAGCACTGTTCTAGGCTGGTACTCAGGATCACTGCACAGAGCAACCAGGAGGACTATTTTGGAGATTCTTCTTCTTCTATATGCTTGCAGTCCTGTGTATAGACATGAAAAACAAATGCTTGGTGGGATTCTGAGTGCTGGAGGGCCTTCATTTCAGAAATCTGTTTAATGCTGACTAGGCCAGGTCTGATGGTATTTTTGTTTTCTAATACAGTGTTTTAGGAATCCATCAGTCTATTTTGCTTTGTTTTTGTTCTGATTTAACTGTTTAGAGAAGAATACAATGACACTACAGCAGCTTTATGTTTTATGTTCAGGAAAAGTTTTAATTTATGTGTGAGCATTTTCATTGAAAAATGAGTGGGTCAACAATAGAGTAAATACACAGATTGTCTGTGTTACAAAGACTTACTTGAATATAATCTTTTTTTTTTTTTCCCTCTTGCCCTATTTTTTCTTAGCCGGGTTATGATGAGATCAACCCAGACTGGAGACTCTCTAGTGAAAAAAGAAAGAAAATAAAAGGTATGTGGTTTTGTTAGATCATTATTTTATACCACTCTGTAGTTAAAAGGATTTACACAAATATACAACGATCTGAAATGGCTTAATTAAATCTCAATTAGAATAGCGGCCAAAATTGTACGTATGATTTGAATTTGTAGCATGGCATAGCTAAATGAGTGTCACAATAGTGTGGGGTGTGGGGTTTTTTTGGTTTTTTTTAAATCCTCTCTTAAGAATTAATTTGTTATACCACTCTGTAGTTAAAAGGATTTACACAAATATACAACGATCTGAAATGGCTTAATTAAATCTCAATTAGAATAGCGGCCAAAATTGTACGTATGATTTGAATTTGTAGCATGGCATAGCTAAATGAGTGTCACAATAGTGTGGGGTGTGGGGTTTTTTTGGTTTTTTTTAAATCCTCTCTTAAGAATTAATTTGTAGCCATAAACCATAAATAAGGGGATATTTCAGTTAGTACAGGACTTCATTTATTATTAAGCATGCGATTATGACTCTGTGGAATGCTGAATATTCAGCAGACATCTCAGCTTGTATCAGAAGCCACTGCATCAAAATATCATAGGTAACACGTTATTAGAGTTCACAGTCTAAAAAACTGAACTTAACTTTTCTTTCTGTGAATGTCTAATAAATACTGAAAGCTAACGTACTTTAAAGAGATCAGTTTAAAATTCTGAAACAAAAGGGCTTTGTTTCCTCCGACTGGTTTTGCCTCAAGTCAGTCTCTCTATTCTTTACCCAAAATTCAGGCCACTGTGTGCAGCCATTTATCACTTGGTTATTGCATGGCTCTTCCAAGAGTGCAGAGATCAATAGCTGTTCCATGATCCGTTCACTACTGCTTGTATACGTCTATATTATTAAAAAAAATCCTCTGTGTCTTTAGACTATTTTTCTTGGTGATTCTGTCTTTGGGTTAACACATCTGACCTTCATAGGTGCTAACTAAGCACTGAAGTGGCAGAAAAGTGATAAGTTGATCTGTTTCTCAGTGCTGTTTGGGGAAAGGTGGTTTTCATCAGAGAAGTGGGAAATGACAGTGTAGTGAACAAATTGAGCTGACTCTGGTGAACATTTTGTCCCAGCATCCAGTTACCATAATCAAAATAATCTGAGAAATGACACAGCTTTCATCTTCAGTTGCGTTGACTTTTTTTTTGTTTAATCTTAACAACCTCATCTTGTAGGCTATTTCAAGAAGCCTTATTCATGGTTGTCATTTGTGCTCAAAAGCAGTGTAGCCTTTTCTGATTTTCACCAGTATTATGTTTGTAGCCAGGGAGACTTGCTTAAGGATGGCCTGGGAAGTATTGAAGCAGATCTATATCAAATACCTAAAACTTGTCATGTTTTGTGCAAATAAATCTGTTTACTATGAATTCTTTTACCAAATAATATTAAAAAATATTAAGTCCAAAAGTGTTTTTCCCCTCAGCAGCTTTAGTTAATGCAGAACTGATTCAGTAAAATAAAATTGATCTAAAATACAAACTTAGTGAACCAAGGATGCATATACAATAATAAATGTTTGTTAAATTGGGCCATCAGATGAAATCTCTTAATAATTGAGGTCACTTCTGTTCTTATCTGGTGTTTAAAGTTATCTTTCTTTGTATGGCGCTTTCTTATTTATTTATTTTAGATAAAGAATCCTATTACCCATTGATAGATGTAAATTGGTGGGCAGATAATTCTGTCATCCTGGCTCGCTGCTCTGGTGCATTGACTGTGTCATCAGTCAAGACGTTAAGAAACTTGCTGGGAAAGTCATGTGAATGGTTTGAGAGTTCTCCTCAGGTCACTTCAGCTCACGATGGAGGATTTCTAAGTCTGGAGGTGAGAAATGTGCACAGGCAGATATCTTTTTGGAATGCAATAGAAACAGTTTGCTTTTCTATATGTAATCCTAAGGGTGTTATGTGCGTGTGTGATATGGTTTAAAAAAATATGAATTACTAACAGGAAAAGCGATTCTGTTTCCTTATCTCTAGGTAGGTATTGTAGGGAAATTCAGAACTTGCTGCAATTCAACTGTCTTAATAAAAACTTAATTGTCAAATAACTTCTAGAGAGCAGATGAGAAACTCCTAGAAGGCTGAGTCTTAATGAGAGGAATCTTGCTGCAGGAAACAGTTTTGTGTCGACAGTTTTCACTGCTTTGTATGTTAGTGTATTTGAAGAATACTGCAAGCATCCCTCTCCCATTTTGAAACAGATGCCTCTTACAGAGGGAGTGTTTTTAAGAGAAATGAGGAACGCATTTAAATTAAGACCAAGCCGTGTAAGAGATCTATTTTTGTTCATCTTTAGTAGGATTCCAGGAAGGAGTAGAACATAATTTTGGTTAAGAAGTTAACCAGGAATTTTCTTTGAAATGAAGAAAATAACTATTTTGTAAGGCTTACACTGAAATAGGTCTTAAATATCTTAAACAAAAGTTTAAAATAATATTTATCAGAATATCTCAATAGGTACCAAAGCTTGCATGTATGTTTTTGGAATGATTCTATGATTCTGAAAATTAGATACAGCCAGTGACCGGCATACAGAAAACCTTGCTTTGGATAGCTAAGAGTTGAAAACATTGCTGTACACTGCAGTAAGCTATATAACAGTGTACTAAGATGTCTCCATAGTTCTGTGTTGTCCAGGGTAGGTAGGACACTACTACAAACCTTCACCCTTGCTTCAGTAGGTAAGGGATGAAGCCTCAGATCTAGGAGACAGACCCGGTCAGGGTTTGTGGAATATATTAAACAAGCAGAGAAATAAAGGGTTTAAAGGAGAAGGGGAGGAAGGATGTTGATTCTGAAATTTGAAGTACTGGAAGTGGAGATCTACTCAATTCTCACCAAACTAGTTGAGATGTAGTAGGTGGATGCTTCATATTCTACCTTTAAGAATTGTTTTCTGTGCAGTGTGAGATAAAACTCGTTCCAAAAAGATTACGCTTGGAGAGCAGGTCTGGTGATGAAGATGAGGGAGAAGATGACTCTGACTCGGATGATGAAACTTCTGCTAAGGACAGATACTTCAGTTACCTAAAGCAAGGCCTGTACTTTGTGACAGAAATGGAACGATTTGCTCCTCCACGGAAACGTCCACGTACTATTACAAAGAATTTCCGCCTTGTCAGTTTGAGATCCACGACTCCAGAGGAACTGTACCAGAGAAAAGTAAGTATAGAAGGAAAGGTCATATCTCTCATAATCAGCTTTATTTAGAAAGAACTTTTTATTTTTCTTTTAATTCTTGCTATATTAACAAAAGGATTTAGGCACATGTTTCTAAGGGTCTCTTAGTGTACTGTGTTACATAATCAAAGGGATCATTGTTTAAAACTAGCATTATAATAATTAAAATGAGATGATGTATGCAGGTCACTGAGGAGACACTGCGCATCATTAGCTTGGCCAGACTGGGAACTGTACTCATGTGAGTGTTTACAAATAATGAAAGACCTGGCAGATAGATTGAATGAAATCATTTGAGCTTGTTATTGGCCAGGGAATGGGTTAACTTATACTCTGATGTGAGTATAAGTTTATTTGCATGTTTTTTCAGGCATGTATACAGATTAGGCCTGTGACTCACTCTCACCGAAGAACAGATACTTAATTTTTACGACTGCTCTAGGCAGTACTTTGTCTAGGCCATTTCAATTGTTCTGATGGTAAATGAGCCCACTCTATAGCTGTTAGTTTCCAGGGAGTGCTGATGTCATACTGGTTACCTAAATAACTTCTTCCTTTTTCTTGAGGAAAAATCTCTGATTTTCTAGAGGTGTCCATCAGATCTGAGTGTTACTCATCTGTATCTTGAGCCATTCTCTTTCCTACCTGCTTAAGCATACCCGCAGTAATTTTCCCTCTGCCTGTTTCAACACACAGAATTAATAATGATTGTTTCATATGGAAATCAGATGACTTTCATTTTCATGTGTTTGCTTTTTTAGATTGATAATGAAGAATATGGGGAAGCTTTGTCTTTGGCTCAAGCATATGGCCTTGATTCTGATCTTGTGTATCAAAGACAGTGGAGGAAGTCAGCTGTTAACGTTGCTTCAATTCAAGACTACTTGGTGGGTTTGTTTTTTGTGACATTCAGGCTTTCTTATCAGAATGGCTGTGTTATCTTTACAGAAATTGAATTCTCAATTGTGTTCTAATTTATACAACATAAATTGGTGGCAATTTGGAGAGCTGTCCTGCAAATTCCATTTCATGTCATGTGGAAGAGAGTCATCTTGTTAATTTAACTGAAGGCCTGATCCGGTGACCTTGGAAGTTAATGGAAATCTTTCCTTTCAAGTATCTTCTGTTAATAGCAGCTTGCTGTCTCTGGTGTAATCTCTCCCCCACATGCAGCAGTAGATTGTTGCCTGGCAAATGAATAATAGTAATTGGAAATATGAAGCATTTAAATAACTTCTAAGTATTTTAGAAAATTAAATGGGAAGGTGTAGTTGGTATCAGTAGCTATATAGCAAAGTTTGAATAGCAAAATTTACAGTGAACTCTGCTACCTGTAACTGGAGCTTTTCAGTAGAATCCAACGTGGTTTTTTTTGGCTTGGAAGAAAGACTTCAAACTCGGCAAACAAGCGTTGTCAAAGATGCACAACCTAATGGTGCTACAGGGTAAAGTCTTCCAAGAGATCAGGAGAAACATAATCTAATTTTTATTTTTTCAAGTCAGATATTAATTGAATGTCAAAATAAGATTTTTATAAGTAGCCATGTTCCATGTGCTATGTAATCTCAACTGAAGATCAGCAGATAAGGCTAATAATATTTTGTGACTTTGGTGTGTCCTTTCTGTCACAGAATCCTATGGGCATGTGAAGAGGTTGATACTGAAAATTACTCTAGTGCTATTGTGGGATACACTCGGTTTATAACAATTGCATTTTAGCCCAAAAAGTCACATTTTATTTAGTGTAAGGAGGAGTGATACTAATTAGGGAATACAAATAATAACTTCTTTTCCATTTGTTGTGAAAGTTCTGCTAAATCATTTGGCATTTCTGTGCCCTTTTCTGCCGCATACACTCTGAGGGAATTATGTTTTTTGCATTCTCACCTCTTTTTTTATTGGTTCACATTGTCAGTCATCAGGTTAAGTTGACATTTTCTTAAGTGGAAGAAACACATTAGAAGATTTTAGCATCTCCAGTTTCATTGCTTGAATTGAAGCATATAACATTCTGTCTATACTCTTGTTCTTGGATAGAGCAAAATTAAGAAGCGCGCATGGGTTCTTCACGAGTGCTTGGAAAGAGTTCCAGAGAATGTGGATGCTGCTAAGAAGCTGCTTCAGTATGGCTTGAAAGGCACAGACTTGGAGGCTCTTGTGGCCATAGGAAAAGGACAAGATGGCGGCAGGTTTGGGAAGAGTATTTTTTTCGTTTGTTTTCTTTTTAAAGAGTGGTGTATGAAGTCTTTTCTAATAATTTGGTAATTTTTTTTTTATCAACCACTAATGAAAATGTTAAGATGCTTTTGCAGGACATAAAGAAAAGTAATGCTTTGAATCAAACTATTCTAAAGATGTCCACAAGGTACCTGTTCTCCTTTTACCTTTTACAAAGGTAAAATCACTGTTTATTTTGTACTGCATTTTCCCTCTTCTTTGGATGCCCTTTATTTTCTTCATCACAGAGAACTTCTGATGTCACTATTTTTCTATGAGAATCTGTTTCTGTTGTATCTTCTGGAAGCTGCAACTACCCCTATAAATGCATTTTGTTGTATATCTTAATTGTTGTAATGATCTTATGTTGTTCAAGTGGGGAGGGGAACAAAGCAAAACACAATGGGTCAGTGGGGAAATACACGCAGAGACAATTCTCTTCGGTATTCAGTTCCTGGTGGTAGAAATAGAAGAGGCTGTTCTTCCGTTGTGCAGTCATCTATTACCATTGTATGCTGTAGAGTTGCTGCCAATCCCAGTGCTACCTGTGGAATTTAGAAACTCTTATCAACTATCATAGCTGTGTGGTTGGTGGTTTGTTTTTTTTGGTTTGTTTTAGGGAGGGGGTGGAAACGAGATGATGCCTCTTGTTGGCTCGTGATGAGTGCCTGCTGCTTTACAACAGCAAAACTCAGTATTATTATTTTCTAGAAAAGTTTAGATTTTTAGTCAAGACATAAACAGAAAGCTGTGTTAGTAAGTTTATTCAAAAATTAGTTCGTCATATCTTTTTGTTGGTTGTTTGTTTGATTGTTTTTTTTTTTTTTTAATCAACATTGATTACATTGTTGGTTTTGTCTTCCAGATTTATCTTACCAGGGGAGGTGGACATTGAAATTCCCTATGAAGACTTTTTGTCACCAGATGAAGAAATGGATACTAGAAAGGAAAAAGAGGCCAAGAAGCATCAAGAACTGCTGTTATCAGTAAACTTCTCAAAGTAAATGAAATGTTAGGCCACGTTTTATTCAGAGTTATAGGTTTATTCTAACTACAGAGTTGCAAGTATGTAATTACTCTCATGTATGTTATTCCTAATAGGAAAGTGGTTTAAATTTTAATAGGCATTATATTGTGTCAAAGTTCTCGGTTTACTTAATTTCTTGATATATTCCAGTGCACAAAGTCATTAAAATGTGTAACTATTGTCTTCATATGCACATGATGTACAATATCAATTGCAAGCATGAAAATTCCTGTTTTGAACACAGGCTGACACTGGAACAAAAAGAACTCTGCCGTAGCAGGCTGAAGCTGTTAACTTACCTTGATCGCCTTGAAACCTATGAGGTGAGGACACTTGGTATCTGGCTACAGTTCTTTTGAGTTCTCATTCTATAGGCATTCCTGTAATTTTTTCGTCGCATCATCATATCTTTATATATTGTAGTATTAATGTTTATAGTCTTCTTGAAATGCTACAGTCTCTCACTTGAGAAAAGTAAGCTGTTTTCTGTTCAAGCTACTGTGTTTCTCCTGCTTCACTGTTGCAAATGGCCGGCTTCTAGTGTTGAGAGGTATAGCTGGGCAGAAGTCTGCTTTGAGCATACTGTGTCTGCAGGGAATTAAGATATGCAACAACGTGGGATGTGGAGTTGGTGCAGGATTACTGTTATTTCCCTCTGTCAGTCTTATTAGCAAGTTTGATACAGATTCTCTAACGAATCATCTTCTTCCATGAGCTTACCAAAGTGAAAGTTTTTGGAATGTCAAACTGTGTTTTGCTTAGTTTTTTAACTTTAACTTCGCAGTTGGCACTAGTCACATAATGACTTTTACCACATCTCTTTGTAACTAATGTTGTCTAAACCCTATTTAAAATAAGGCAGAGAATTGTCTTAGCTTATCAATCAAAAATGCATCTGTGTTTTTCACACTGAAACAAATAAAAACCAACAGCATGCTTTTCCACATAAATCACATACTTATTCATCCTAAGATAAAGAAATGTGTAGGCTTTTTGATGCTTTTGTAAGTCTTGCATAAAAACCAATCTTTTATAAGTGTTTTTTTTTTTTTTAAAGGAAATCCTTAAAGGGCCTCATGCAGCTGAACAGCACTATGATGGTGAATTCTTCAAGAGGTTCAGAAATCAGAATATTGTACTTTCAGCAAGAACTTATGCTCGGGTATTAAGATTTATTTTACTAGAATGTAATTTTGTGTTGGTATTGCTGTTTTCACTTAAGCGCATTTTTCCCCCCTTTGAACTTGGTTGAATCTCAATGGGAATTTAAGAGGTGGGGGGGTGTATTTGATTGTAAATAAATAAATGCAGTGACCCTGAGCTAATTTTTTTTTTATTGCTAAAGAAAATTTTAAAATTAAATGTTTGTTGCATGACCTAAGCTTACATTTCTTGCTTGTTTTCAGTCTAAATCAGTCTTAAGCTAGTTCTGCAACCTAATGTTTTGCTCTTTAGGAAAGCAATGTCAGAGCCCTGGAAATTCTGTTCACTTTCCATGGATCAGCTTTACTTCCACACAGACAGGCAATTCTCTCCAATTTTCCAGAGACTACTTCACCACATGAATATGCTTTCTTGTTGCCTGAAGCTTGGTAAGGATGCATCAGTGGATATTAACTATAAAAAAAAAAAGATTTTTAGGTTAATACTTAAATTAGTTTCCATATATGGCAATCTGCTGTTGGTTACCTGGAATCAAGAGAGCAGCTTTGTCTTTATGTACTTGACGAGTCTTCATTTTCTGCTTTACTGTGTGCCATTCATGGAAGCTTTTTGGTCTCTTTTGATTAGAATCTTTTGATTACAGGCCAATGGCATCCTGGCCTGTACCAGAAATAGTGTGGCCAGCAGGAGTAGGGAAGTGATCGTGCCCCTGTCCTCGGCACTGGTGAGGCCGCACCTCGAACACTGTGTTCAGTTTTGGGCCCCTCACTACAAGAAGGACGTCGAGGTGCTGGAGCGTGTCCAGAGAAGGGCAACGAGGCTGGTGAGGGGTCTGGAGAACAAGTCTTCTGA